TGGACACCAGTAGGAAAACAGAAAAAAAACATTTAAAAACACCATTTTTGTCCCAGGTATTTGAGTCTTATTTAAACCACTGATCTCATCCTCTTTAGTAATTTATATTAAAATGTAGGGGAAATGCTAATTTTGAGACCATCCTTCCGTTCTTAGGACCGTGCCCCCGTAGAAAACATTCTGGAGAGGTGAGTTCCTCTGAGACTGCCCTTATGATTCCTCCACCAACTTTGACATTGTGAAGAGCAACTCTGATGTGGCTACTGGAACAGAGGCCATAGTTGTTGCTAAACCTTTATTTAGACAGACCAAGAATTAAGAAAAGCAAATGTGATAAATTTTAACGGGCCCAAGTGAATGTGAAAACTAAAACCAGATCCATGAATTGGCTGTCTTTACTCATTTACTCACATGCAACATTACCAACATTCAAAAGGAATTTAATCTATTGTTTTCCATCAGCCACACATTTATTTATTATTTTTTTAAATTTATTTTTGAGACAGAGACAGAGCATGAACGGGGGAGGGGCAGAGAGAGAGGGAGACACAGAATCGGAAGCAGGCTCCAGGCTCTGAGCCATCAGCCCAGAGCCCGACGCGGGGCTCGAACTCAAGGACCGTGAGATCGTGACCTGAGCTGAAGTCAGACGGTTAACTGACTGAGCCACCCAGGCGTCCCCAGCCACACATTTATTTAGAGCTGTTTCTTGTACTGTGCAAAAAAGAGGGCAAATTACAAATCTGTACAATAATCCACAGAATGTGATCAATATCCTTATCAACACCCAAAGTGGGTTAACAAGGTTTTTTTCTCCTGAAATCACACCTTCCAAGGAGTCCCAACAAGTGTTCAACACATAAAAAAACGTCAGGGAGAGCCTACTTGGCAGAGGAAGTTTGGGAAAAACTGCATCCCACACCAACACTTCCTCAAAAAACTCACGATACACACTTGCTCATTAGAGAACAGGACTGACATAAAGACATCTCAGTAACCTTGTTAACCCAGCATTTCCAAGTTTATTTAATCAATGAGCCCATTTCTCCCACCTAATATCAATTAACATCCACAGAAAAGTAGTGGATATTGCTGGTCTGGAAAACAACTGCAGGGAGTGATTTCAGTAACTGCCTCAACTTTGCCAGCATGGCTACGCACCCTAGGAAAGGGGTAGTGGTCTTGCTGAGGCACTCTATCCCATTCACGGCCAAGGCTGAGTCTTGGCTAGATCAAGCACCCCTTTCCTCTCTGCCGTCTCCGTCTAAGAAAGATTACCTTACCAGATACAGCAAACTACTATTCATCTGGCATTATAGAAAACAGCAACAATCTTTGCTGGACTCTCTAAACAAACTAAAATCTTTTATTATTATTTTTTTAATGTTTATTTTTTGTGGGGGGGAGGAGCAGAGAGAGAGGGAGAGAGAGAATCCCAAGCAGGCTCTCTACTGTCAGCACAGAGCCCAATGCAGGGCTTGAACCCATGAACCGTGACATCCTGACCTGAGCCAAAATCAAGAGTCAGACTCTTAACTGACTGAGCCACCTAGGCACCCCTAAAATCTTTTAAAAAGAGCCCTGCATATATATGTTCCCCTATGCTGAATCAGAGATTTAGGTAAGACATCCTGCTGTGCTCAGGGGAAAGTAGTAAAGTTAAATTAGAGTCTTACAAAAACATCAAGACAGAAAGATACCAAAACCACAGTTGGTTAGAAATAATATTTATTATCCCCTCCCCCCATGTACAGATTACTTTTCAGAAACATGAAGATATTACCCATGTCCTCATCAATAACAGTTTGTAGAAAATAAACGTAATTCATATCTTGACAATATATTTCTATCATTTTTAAAACAATAGCCATTTTTCCACGTTAGTTCAAGAATAGCTTCAAGTTTTACATTTTGAATCAAATCAAGACAATCTTTGTTTATAGGTGATTTCCTGACAGATCCCATCCCCCCAACCCCTAAAAAAAATTCTATATCCTAAGTGATAAACTCTTCTTGTACATTCAGCAAACTTTATATTGGAAAAAGAAAAAGAATAATTGAGATAGGTATTTACTCTCGTGCACAGTAATAAATCTAGCTGAGCTTCTACACCTTGCTTTGCAATGATGTTTACATAAAATAAATCATTTCTTATCAAGTTACAATGGTAATTTCTTGAAATGTAGATACAAAAGCTATACACTTAATCCACTGAAATTGCCTTCTAGTTTTATCTGTAATTAAACCATCGCCATTAAGGAAAAGCTTCAACTCAAGAAGATGTTTCCCCTTTCCCTCAGCTATTTCTCTCTGAAAAGCTTGAATCCTCTCTCAGATCATGTAGAGATACATTAAAAGCACAGAGAAAAAAAAAAAAAAAAAAAA